GGGGGGGGGGGTCAGACGCGGGACTCGGACTCACAAACTGGTAAAGACGCAGTGCGATCTGGAAACTTGATGAGTGGCGTGTGAGCTCTGGCTCGCCGCATGAGCGTCTGTCGGAGCATGACGACGTATGTCCTGACGAGCGTTCAGACAGCACGATAGGTCTGGCGAGGCAGGCAGCGGCAGGCTAGGGAGCGGGAAGGAGGGAAGGAAACATGCATCCTGGACATGGCCTTTGCGAGGAAGGTGTTCGTTATGATCTCATTGCCGGCACCTCAGCTTGTTCTTTGTCCAAAAAGAAAAAATCAGAACTAGATTCAGAAAAGAAAAAAGATATTTCGTCAGTCTGTCAATGGTCTGTGGCTCTGCGTTGTCCATCTCTCATTCGAACCTCGAGTCTTGCGTTACATGTACCGGGTACAGCAAATACCCCTGTTCGAGCGCACCCTCGCTGAGCAGAGCGGCGGGCATAGGGACATGAGATGCAAAGGGGCGACAGCGAGTGGGCTCGCTTGTTGCTCACGAGACGAACTGTTCGCCTCGACCGTGTACGAGTGCAGTACACAACACTACACTACAGCACATAGGAGCAGAAGAGACTGGAAAATGCAGTGCGCCTAGTTGTCCAACGATGCGCTCCGCCATGGAATCACTCGAAAGGCCACCTACAGTGCCTCATAGCCGCAGAAGCCGCCCCTCCTTCCGGTGGCGGAGGAGAGCGTGAACGCGTCGACCGACATCTTCCGCTGACATTGTTTTGAAGGGCGGGGCTAGCCTGAATGCGCGGTATAATCATGGTGATCAGCATGATGAACGAGTAATGAATGTGGTAGTGGGGTATGGTATCTTTCTTGCTTTTGCGAAAATGTTCTTTGATGAATTGCCATCAACCCATGAACCTTGCTGCCGTCGATTCGCTTTTTGGTGTGCGCGTGTGCGTGCATCGTGCTGAGAAAATGGTCGAACGATGGCACACGTGGCAAAAGACGTGTATGGAAGGGAAGACGAGCGATCCGGGTGCCCAATCGCGTCGCATCCATTAGTCAACAGGCCCGAGAGGGCTAGCAGCGAGGCGGCCGACATCGACCGCGGCGTCAGGGGTTGCACCGTGTTCGCTCTCGTTCCACGTCTCCATCAGCGGGCCCTGCGTCGCGGTGATCGCAAAAAGGCGCTTCTCTAGCGCTTTCTGCAGCTCGTCCGCCTCGTCGCTGCCGCTAGCGCTCTTCGGCTTGGGCTGCCTCTTTGGTTCTGACGCCGATGCAGGCCGTTGTTGCTGGGGCGCCTGCTGAACTCGTTCCACAGTGGCGTGGGCACTAGCACTCGCGCGCCCCGCGCGGATATTGCGCCGCAGGCTGCGCTTGGCCTCCAAGTCGTCTCCATCCGCCTTTGCGCCCCAGCTCGGACTGGAGCCTGCCCCCGCTGCTGCTCCACCCGTCGCTTTGCCTGCAGCAGGCCCGCTGCCAGCGGCGGGCGGCTCGGCGCTGACGGCTGTCGTGCTGAGGCTCTGCAGCGCTGCGTTCGACGGGACCAACAGCGCCGCCGCGGCCGCGTGTGCTGCTGCGGCTGTCGGCGTCAACTGGCCTGTGCCCTTGCCTGCGTGCGTGCTCCCCATCGCGGTGCAAATAGCGGGGGGCGGAGATGAGGAGGTGATGGGCGCGCCGGACTCCGGGTCGGCGTCGATAGAAAGGATCGACAGCGTCGGTTTCGCCGCTGCCGCAGACGCAGGACTGCGCGCCGTCGCGGATGACGATGAAGATGGGCCGTGCAGCGTGCTTTCGGATAGGTGCAGCTGCAATCCGTCCTTGTTGTCATCGCCTCTCGTAGACCCAGAAGCAGGCTCGCCATCATCACCGCCGCTATCACTGCCCCACAGCTGTATGAGCTTGGAGCTGCGCTTGCTTTTCCCACCCGCCGCCAGCACTGTCGCTGCGCTCGCGTTTGTGTTCGCTCCAGGCGGCTTAGATAGCAGCACAGACTGCTCCGGCGAGCGGTACGCTGCGCTCTGACCTGATGCGGACGAGCGGGCGTCCGATGTGCGACGGCTCGCCGAAGAAAGTGGGGTCGGATCCGGTCGCTGGTCGTTGATGGAATGCTGCGCGGTGAGGCGAATGGAGCGCACGACGGCGAATGGCTTTGTCGACGCTGAAGCTACTGAGTTGGGCGCCGCGCTGAGCGGCGACGCGAGCAACTCCTCGCCGTCGCTGCCTGCGCCTGCCTCGGTGGCATGCGAATCTTGCGCGAAGATAGGGGTGACGGAGATCAGGTGGTCGAACGAGCTGGACCGCGAGGAGGGCATCGAGGAGCGGTGGTTGGCGCCTCCGCCTCCGCTGCTGCCGCCGCCGTAGCTGCGCGCGCCGTGGCCGTGCGGCGCGTAATGCGGGGGGGCCGACTTTGTGTTCGCGCTGGCGGAGAACTGCCGGGGTGGCGGAGGCGGAGAGGTGGCAGAGAGAAGGAGCCTGGTTGCATTTGAGGCCTGCACGGGCAGGAAGTTGCTGCCGTGCGGAGTGAGGAGCGAGAGCACGAGGATTGTCTGTCAGCCGATAGCTCGCTCGGGTTGCTGCTGCTTATGAGTTGCCCACTCACCCTTGCAAAGCGCCAATAATGCCGTTGAGGCGGTCCTTATCTGCGCCTTGCGCGGACCGAGGCGGCGGCATGAATGGCGCATCGGCCTCGGCTGGCGCCATGTCCTGCGTGGAGCTATATCCTGGTACATTTGCACCCTTCGTTCTGCGTGCGTCTGCTACCAGATGGGTCGGCACACCGACATCGGCTCCGAGCAGCGGAGTACGCTCTTGGTCATCGCCTATGCTGCTGTGTGCAGCAGCAGCGCGCTGCTTGGACGACGAGGCGCGCGAGCGAGGAAAGCAACATGGAAAAAAGCAGGCTGCAAGGGTGGCAGGCGAGGGGAGGAGCTGCGTGCGGTTGTTGCTGTTGCTGCTGCTAGTTGCGGTGTTCATGGCGGGCTAAGCGTGTCCTGCGGCGCGATTAATAGCAGCTAGACACGGCCATACAACTTCCCGCTGCGTCGTGAACGAGTCCTAAGGAGCGGAGGGGGGCTCGTGGTGCGTAGTGCGTGGGGGATATGCATGGATGGATGGATGGGTTGGTGCAAGGATGTCTATGGTGAGGATTGAATTCATTTGCGATGTCCCGCCGAGTGACTCCCCGCGTTCCGCCCTTCTGGATCCGGTGATTCGGGATATAATCAGGGGGAAATGGATCTTTCTGGGGCTTTCCCCTCGCACTGTTCGCTGCGTCGGATGATCAGACCAACCCATCCTCATATCATCCATCCCCATACCTCGTTTGCATCAGAAGAGACGAGAATCGTCCACCGTTGCTGCTTCAGCTTCAGCGCTTCTCCCTCTCCCTCTGCCCCGTGGTCTGGCTTGCCTTACCCTTGCCCTTGCAGGTCTGTCCGAGGCACTCGGCTCGACTCGCCTGTCTGGACGTGCTTTTGCTGGCCCCCGGGAGTCTGCAATCAGCGACGAGGATCAACGCCCGCCCGCGCCGCGCTTGCTAGAGAGGAGAGAGAGAGAGAGAGAGAACGTTTGTGCAGTCTCACCTTCTCCTTCTACGGCAAAGCAACCTCGAGCAGCGAAAGAAGCAGCGCTCACCCTGTCGGAGCGTATCTAGCCATCGACATGCCGCCTAAAAATATCGTCGAGGGTCAGATCTTCAAGGTGAGTCCCCTTCCCCAAGTCTCCAAACGGACTCCCCGCGTCGCAGTAGCCTGCAGTTGGCGCCAAGGGCGCATATCGGGCAGGAGGAAACTTGTTTTCAGTGTCCACGTAGCTTTCCTTTCTCTGACCTGGTCCTGACACGCTTGGTCCGACCAATAGGCCACCTACTCGGGCGTGCCGGTGTACGAATGTATCATCAAGGGCGTCGCTGTCATGCGCCGCCGCGCCGACGGCTGGCTCAACGCGACCCAGATCCTCAAGGTCGTCGGCCTGGACAAGCCTCAGCGCACGCGCGTCCTTGAGCGTGAGGTGCAGAAGAATACACATGAAAAGGTCCAGGGCGGGTATGGAAAGTACCAGGGTGAGCACCTGTTCCTCCTTTGAACACATTCTTCATCCTTTTGTCCATGCTAACCGACACAAACATGCTCTTTTCATCTGCGGCTGCTGCACATGCAGGGACATGGATCCCCTTGGAGTCCGCCATCAAGCTCGGGCAGCAGTACAACATCCAGCTGCTGCTCGAGCCCCTCACGTCGTATGTCCCATCAGCCGAGTCGCCCCCACCGGCGCCAAAGCACACGGTCCAGTCCGCGAATCGCATCAAGAAAGGGCCTTCGGCCGTCGAGATCTCGGCGCTGGCACGCGCCCGCCGCGAGACTTCCCTCAACTCGGACAGCGACGACGACGACAGCGCCACGCTCGGCTTGCCCGGCGGTGCAGGCGTTGCAGCGGCAGGCGCAGCTGGTAGCGGTGGCGCGCGGCGTCGGGCAGCGAGCGAAGGGAGCATGTCTCCGAGCCCGAGCGACGTCAGCAGTTCGTCGCGCACGCCGAGCCCGATTGCGACGGCGCGGCCCAACGTGCCAGAGTACTATCAGGAGGGCCGTCCACCGAACGGCTCGGCAGCAGCGGCAGCCGGCGGCGGCAGCGGTTTTGCGCCGGGGTCGCGAGGCGTCATCCCCTACGGCCAAGATGCGTACGACCGCGTGGCCGGGTATGGCGTGCGCGATGATGACGGGCTGTCGCGCTACGCCGAGATCATCCTGGACTACTTTATATCAGAGAGCACGACAATTCCCCCACTGCTCATCAACCCGCCGCCAGACTTTGACGCGAACATGTCGATTGACGACGACGAGCACACGGCGCTGCACTGGGCCTGTGCCATGGGCCGCATCCGCGTCGTCAAGCTACTCCTCTCCGCCGGCGCGGATGTGTTCCGCGTCAACACTAACGGCCAGACAGCGCTGATGCGCGCGGCGATGTTCAGCAACAACTACGACTTACGCAAATTCCCCGAGCTCTTCGAGTTGCTTCATCGCTCTATCCTCAACATCGACCGCAACGACCGCACGGTGTTTCACCACGTCGTCGATCTCGCGTTGTCGCGTGGCAAGCCGCACGCCGCGCGCTACTACCTCGAAACGATGGTCACGCGCCTGAGCGAGTACGGCAGCCAGCTAGCCGACATGCTCAACTTTCAGGACGATGAGGGCGAAACGCCGCTGACGATGGCTGCACGCGCGCGCTCCAAGCGCCTCGTGCGCCTTCTGCTCGAGTACGGCGCCGACCCCAAGATACGCAACAAAGAGGGCAAGAACGCGGAGGACTACATCATCGAGGACGAGCGTTTCCGCGCGTCCCCCGGTCGCACCAGCGCCGCAGCCGCCGCCGTCGCTGCTCTCGCAGCCGGAGGGCCAGGCACGGGCGGCAACGGCAGCGTGCCCGTCGCCGCGCTTTGCGGCCTCGATGGCAGCGGCGGCGCTGGCGCGACGAGCCTGCATACGTCTGAGGCGGGCCAGCGTGCCGGCGGGCGCGCTGTGCAGCTGATGGCCAAGCTGCTGCACCAGCTCGCCGACTCGTACGACGCTGAGCTCGGCAGCGCGGACAAACGGCTTTCGCAGGCTGCGAGCCTGCTCGTGCAGATTCAGGCTGAGGTGCGCGAGAGCGATCAGGTGCGCCAAGCGCTGCAGCGCGAGGCCGACGACGGCGACCGCGAGAAGGACGCGCTGGCCCAGCTCGAGGCTGAGCTCCGCACGTCTATCGCCAAGCGCCACGCAGATGATATGGCGCGCAGCTGGGACACTGCGCAGGACCACGTCAAACGCCTCCGCATCGTTAATGGACTCCCGGAAGACGCGCTTTTTTCATCCAGCGCAGCAGCAGGGGGGCAAGGGGCATCAGGCGGCGACAGCGAGCAAAAAGGCCCTGCGAGCGCGCAGGACCTGCTCGCGCCCGTCGCGGCGGGCAAGCCGTTGCAGGAGCAGCTTGCCGAGCTGCGCCAGCTCGTGTCGGACGCCAAGGCGCGGCACAGCGCGCTTGTGGACCAGTTCGTTGCCAAGGCCAAGGAGCAAGGCACCGGTAAGACCATGGCCGCATACCGCCGCCTCATCAGCGCCGGCTGCGGCGGTATCGCCTCCGAGGAGGTTGACGCCGTCGTCACGGCGCTGTGCGACCTGCTTGATGAGAATGGCAGCGGCAAGTGCGCTGCCCCTGGCGGTGGCAGCTCCTGTGCGGATGGCACAGGCAATGCACAGACCCAGGCCGCCGCGGGCGCAAAGGATGCAGCCGCGATGCTGCGCGGCGTTGCGGCTGCGTCGAGCAATCATTGATTCGCAAGGCCATCAAGAACGTAAGCAGATGGGATTTGGTGCTGAAGGGCGCGACGAAGACGAGCACGTAGAAACCAGCGTGGATGCGATTGTTCCGTGTACAGTATCATCAAATGTTTGTGGCATGCAAAAAGGGAATCACATGAGACGATGGGTTCTGGTGCTTTGCGAGCTTCAGCAGCTCCGTCTGGCCTCCAGCTTGACGAATATGTTGATCGTTTCTTTCATGACCGCAAACGTGTCTACTACATGACCCCTCTCTGCTCCTCCATGGCACACGTTCACGCAGCGCTCTTCTCCGGCGCTGGCGCCATCGAAGGCTTCCTGTCGCCCGCGGGAGCACCACCTGCAGCAGCGCCGCCTCGCCTCTTCTGCCCGCCGCGCTTGGTCTTGTGTCTTCCACTGCTCGCGCCGTCCTCGGCGCCGGACTTCTCCGCACAACTCGCGCCGCTTGCGCCCTCCGTCGCCTCTGTCTGCTCCTTTCCAAAAGCCGCGCCTTGCCTGCCTCTTGCCCTGTCCTTCTTGCGCTCCTCCGGCGGCGTCGAAATCTCGAGGCGTGGGACGCACCCGCCCTTGTCGGACTTGAGGGTCTGCCCGGCCTTCTTTAGGCCAGCTTGCATTGCGTCCTCGCTGACGAACTCAATCAGCGCAAATGGTCTTTGCACCCTCGGCTTCTCCTTGTCCTTGCCGGCATCGCCCTCGGCCGGCTCGTCAGCGCCGCTGGCCGCAGAGTTGATGTCGCCTCTGTGCCTCCTTTCGTTGGAGAAGGCAAGTTTGACGTGGGTGATCCCTTGCGCCGCATCGCCAAAGTAGGACTTGATGTGTTCTTCGCTGACGGGAAGCACATCTGCCAGGCCGGAAAGATAGAGTTCGGGAGCGCGCTTGACTGGAGGCCTGTCGGCTTGCTGTTTGCCTTCCTTACCCTTGGCGCTGGCCCGGCTGGTGTCCGTGCTGCACGCCGCGCCTGACTCCGCGTCGGAACGTGCGCCGGTGCTGCTGCTCACTGCATCCACGCTGCCAAACTTGCGCTCCTTCTTCGGGTTCGCTCTCAGATCCCGCTTGCTGGCGCTGGGGGCAAGCGAGTCTTGTGCAGATGCAGGGGTGCCCCCGTTCGCCCTGTTTCCAGCAGCACCCGCGGCAGCACCGCCATTATTGCTCGGACCGTTGGTCCTTCCGGCCGACGAAGCAGACTTGGCAGCGTCCCAGAAATCACGTGTAGCTTTCGGTCCTGTCGGTGGCTGCTGCTGCTGTTGCGGCGGCGGCGGTGGTGGCGTGGCATTTGGCACGTTTGGCGAGGCCTGCAGAAGCGCCGATCTCGCGGTAGCGGCCCCGATTGCGTTGGCGACGGGCGTGCTGGCGGGTGGCGGCACGTTGTTGAGTCTATAAGCAAAGTTGAAGCCCTGACTCTTTGTCTCTGCGCTGATGCGCCCGTCCCTGACGTCGAGCACGAGACTGCCGTACGCCGCGTCGGGCAGGTTCCAGTTCCACGTGTTCTTCCACGCCGGCTCCTCGCTGACGGCGCCGTTGGGCGCGGCGACGGGCGGCAGGCGGTTGGTGACGGCGAGGGCGTTGTTGAGCAGGATGCGCTGGTTGTCATCAATCACCGATTCAACCTGCGACTTGACCGTATCCCACACCTCGCCGAACGCGGTCTTTGCGCTGACGAGCTTGTTGCGGAAGTTTTCCGCGTCGTGCTGCACGCTGAACTCGTTGTACGAGACGCCGTACCTGAAGTGCAGACCGGCGGAGACCGTCAGGTCGGCCTTGAGCGCCAGCGCGAGCTGCGCCAGCAAGCCTTCCCTGCCGGGCGAGGCGTGCGTGATGAGCATGCGCGTCTCCGTGGGGTCGTAGACCTGTCCGATCGGAGACCAGAGAATGAGGTATCAGTCACAAGACTCCCCCGCAGCCCACGTTTGCACCCACCTTTTGAGCAGTATCCACCAGCTCGCCGATCTGCAGCACAGTCGTCCACATAGTCCCCTGCCCGCCGGCGATGGTCGCGTTGCCGGTACCGTTGTCAAACAGCTTGTGCAGCACGACGGCGCCGCCGAGCCCGAACAGGCGCAGCTTAACGCCGCCGACATCGATGACGCGCGTGGTGGCCTCGTCGAGGACGTGCAGGTTTGGCACGGCGTACTCGCCCGTGCGGAACTTTTCGAGGATCGCCACGTCCTCGCAGGCACCCCAGACGGTGAAGACGGGGACTTCGAGTTTGCGCTGGCCATTGAGGAAGAGCGGGAAGTCGGACAGGAGCGGCACGGGTGAGTTTATCACCTGCGTGCGCAACGCAGACTGCGTCGCTGCCGCCGCATTCGCCAGGCCGCGCGTCGGCTCGGCGGCCAGTAGCTGCGTGCGCAAGTGGGGCGAGATCAGAGTCGAGTACTGCACGAGATGCTTGAGAGTGCTGAGGGGAGTAGCAAGCGTCGTGGCGGCGGTATTTCAGTGCGGGTTCCCGTGTACTCAAGTTTCCGCTCAAGGTTTGTGCAGCTCACCGATCGCTGATCCGCCCGAGGCTCGATGCCTCGTAGAAGCCAAAGTCACCCGTGTGGATGATCGCCTTGGCTTGATGTTCCGCTGCGAGCTGATTCAGCGAGGAGATGTTACCTGTGAGGGATGTTCAAAGAGAACGAAATGCTCAGTTACACAGTAGCGCACGTTTCGACTTGAACATGCCGTGACAAGATGGATTTGGCAAGATGCTTACCTCGCACATCGGCCACACACAGGATCCGTCCATTAGGACCGTCGATCGCGTATGTCTGGTTGTTGACGGCGGAGGGTACAAGGTTGATGGGTGGCGCGGGTGTGGGTGCGGTGCCGGGTGCAGATGCCGAGGCAGCTGCTTGAGCAGCTCCTCCGCCAGCCGCGCTCGCGTTGGAAGCCGGAGCGCCTCCTCGCCCCCCGAGATTTCCTGCTGCTCCGCCTCCAAACCCACCGCTGCGGCCGCCCGGCCCGCCATAGCCGCCTCTACCACCTCCAAAGCCTCCTCGGCTGGGAGGGCCGCCGCCACCGCTGCGGCTGCCTTGGCCGAAGGTGCCAGTGGTGCCATGCGAAGGAGTGGGTGAGGTGCCGCCAAAGCCGCCGCCGCCAGAGGGCCGCGGTGTGAGGGTGTTGGAAGCCATGTCGTCGTTGTTAGGGTGCCCTTGTTGTCGTTCAACGAGGGCGCTCGTCGGTTCGTGTATCTCTTCACGGATCGCTTCAATGGAAAGAGCCGGCGAAGGGGGCAAGGGAAGTGCCACTGCAACCCGGAACGAGGGTGACCTTGGGTCCTGTTGCGTCTCTTATGTGGTCGTCTCTACCGAAGCTTCGACCTCTCCAGTCTCCTCCCTTTGGGTGGACTTGTTCTCCTGCGCCGCAGCGTTTTGGTCTTTGACGGTGGTGGTCTCCTTGAGAGGGGACGCAGCCGCGCCGACAAGAGATGAGAGGAACGCTGCAGGTACTGCTTCTGCGGAGCTGGCAGCGAGCGGGGAGGAAGAGGATGGACTGATGTGGGATGTGGCAGATGAAGATGCCTCCCGCGAGCGCGTCTGCCTGCTGACTGTCTTATTTTTCTGTCGCTTCTCTTGCGCCTGAGCCTGAGCCTGAGACAGCTGCCTATCCCTATTCTCCTGGGAAGAGAAGCTGCTGACGCGGGCGACTTGGGCGAGCTGCCAAGCGTGGGAGACTGCGGTGGAGGCGGCGGCTTTGAGAGTCTCTTGGCCTTTGCGACAAGTATTGCGCCTGACTATTGTATTGTTGCAACGCACAAAGAGAGTAGAGAAACACCGAGACAGCGTCTCGTTCTACTCCTTGCAATGCAATCAAAAGAAAAAGAAAAAAGAAAAGGGGGGCGGCGGTTTCTTCGATGCGCTTGGTCGGCAATGGACTGCGTGCGCTGGTAATACCCAAGGAGAAGATGGGCAGGTCCCTTCTATTGTACAATGAGAGCATGGAGCATGGTGTCCCCATCATTGCCATCGAGAAGATTTGTGCGTGTGTGGGTGGGTGGTCCCAGCCAGCGACAGACGGGCGTGCGGGCGCGCGAGCGGGACATGGACACAAACAGGGACAGGGATAGGGGGCACTGCAGCAGTCAAGTCGGGTCCGCACACGCCTCGCAAGGGTCTTGCGAGACAGGCGCAGTGCTGGGATCCACGCAGCGAGAGTGCGTGCCGTCCAACAGAACAAAAAGCAGCTGCTCGATGCGCTTTCAGTGCAAGATGCGAACTAGGGACACTGCTCCGAGTCATTGACGGCAGCGTAGCATGCAATCCCAGGCTCGCGCGCCAAGTGTTTCCTGAAATGCAGAGTATATTGGATAGAGTGATAGAAATACATAGCGGTCCCGCGAGGCGCCGCGACGGCACGCGTCATAAAGTCTGTGCTTACTTGGGTCGAATGCCCACTGCAAAGAAGTGCGATCGATGCTCGGGGTCTACCTTCTGTGGGCCGCTCATCAGCCCGCAAGATGTGTGGTTCGACATCACTGTTCGGGATGTTCCTTGCCTTTGAACATGGCCCATCCCTGCCCCCCATCCTTAATCTCCATTTCTTTGGGCGCGACAAGTTGGTCTAGAGTGGGGGCGAGAACGGCGGATGGAGCATCAGCCGGGGTTCCACGACGCAAGGGGAAAAGAGGGTGACAAGACAGCTCACCATCCCAGTAGAGGTAACCCCACGCCTTTCTCTGCTCTGGGTCCTTGGTCAGCGAGGTACGCGTCACCTTCCAGTACCGTATCCCCCTCTCGCATGAAGTCGTGAGGCCGAGCCGTCGTTGCGTTTTCAAGAAGCTTTTGGGCAGAAAGGAAAACTTGTGAGCATTCTCAAAGACTTGCTTCTCGCTTGTGTTCTCCCAGCGCGGCTGCCAGACCTTCTGGCCTATGCCATCGCGCGGCAGGTCGGCGAGAAGGTCGAACAGCTGTTGCCTGGTCGGGCGTTGGAGATGGTGGCCGATCTGCGTCCGCAGCACGCGAGGGAGCGACTCGGGTATAAATTCCTGCAGCAGGATCAGCGATGTGTTAGGGTTACTCGAGGGTGCCGCTGCTGCTGCTGCTGATGAGCGCGGTGCCTTTGTCGACGCTGTCCGCGCAGCCGAGCAGATGCACGGCGAGCACCTCATCCCCCGTGTGCCAGCCCCCGGCCCCCGGTCTGCTGCACTTGACCGCCTCTAGAAGAGCCGGAGTGAGGGGATCTGCGGCGTGAATGAGGGGGGTCAATCCTCGTCCAAAGCAGTTGCAATGCTCTGCAGCGCCTTAGCAGAACACGCATACAGATGAAAGCGAATCTCGGGTGCTTAGTGTGTGTTTTATGCGAGGAAAGAGCTCTTGGGCCCTGTTGTGTTAATGATGTAAGTCTGCTTGATCATCAACGGATCCTCCGGTGGCTCGTCATTACCGCGACATCCTTGAAACACAAGCCATCTTACTGGCGAACTAAAATGTGTAGCAATCATCGTAACCTACCCATCCATTTTTCAATGACAAGAACCGCTGTTCTTCCAAGCAATCCATTGGGAGGCAGGTTCCGTGTTCCGAGCTCCCGCCCCATCAGATCGGATATTACGCAGTTGGCACCACTGTGCGCACAACAGGGTGTCTATGTCGCTGTGCATGTCAGTTTAAGTAGGGTTCTAAGAACCTGGGTGGCCCGTGCTAACGTTTATTTATTTTAGCGCGTGGAGCTATCTCCTTTTTTTTTTGTCAGGCGATATGCAACGAGAGCAGTGTCTGTGTCTGTCAATAAATATAGTCACTAGTGGGACACACTCAAGCATTGCCGACTGGCAGGCCACAACCGCGCGCTTTGGACGAGAGCAGGCACCATGGCAGTCATCGAAAGCCCAGTCGCCTCTTCGAGAGCCGCCCGTCATCTCACTCTCGCGCACACACTTAATAGGCCAGGGCTGATGACAATAACAACAGCCAAGCGCCAACATGTATCCTACAACAGACACACACATCGAGGCAAAGAGCTGTCTGCACCCGGCAATCTGCACCATCTTCTCATGGCAGGACGCTGTACACCCCATCGTGCTCTACGCAGCTGGACGCTCGGTACCTTCGGCGCCCAACGCTGGACAGCACCGTGAGCCTATTGCCGGACTTGTGGGGTCCTGCTCATCACCTTTGCACTGTTTCAAAGCTCGCTCGCGTTCATATTCCAATTGCAGACGACAGCTCAAAAGACACGTAGTACAGATAGGCAGACAGACAAGTGCAGCGCGCTAGAAACTCAAAATATCGGGCTTCCTCGAAGCCTTGTCGACATTAACACGGCATCAGGTCGTCCCTGCTCCACCCGTTTGGCGCAAGAGAGCAAAAAGAAAGTACAACTTTGACCGTCACCCCACCCCCCCCTTTCAGCGGTGGTAGCAGTGATTGCCGGCTTGCTGTACGACAAAGGATGGTCAGTTCGTTGTCATCAGCGATCCCAGGCCTCACCGCAGGCTTTCCACAACAAGTGCCCTCTGGATACCCGACCGGTGGAGGGATGATGGTCGACAGCACCTCCTTACAAGCCGGCGCGCTGCAGAGCCCCCATGTACCTGCAGGCGCTGCATCGGCACTAGCGTCGTCGCATCACCTTGTGCACAGCAACATGGGCCAGCCGCAGGACGGGCTGGTGCAGCTGCCGCAGCCGCGGAACAACCTGGCAGGGCGGTACGCCCTGAACGACTTTGCGGTGCAAAAGACGCTCGGGACCGGCAGTTTTGGGCGAGTGCACCTCGTGCGGAGCAACCACAATGGGCGCTTCTACGCGATCAAGGTTCTGCGCAAGGAGCAGGTCGTGCGCATGAAGCAGGTAGAGCACACCAACTCGGAGCGCGCGACGCTCGCCGTCGTCCGACATCCATTCCTCGTCAACCTTTGGGGTACGTTCCACGACCCCACCTTCCTCTACATGGTCATGGACTTTGTCCCCGGCGGTGAGCTCTTCACGCTCCTGCGCAAGTCTCAGCGCTTTCCGCACCCCGTTGCGAAATTCTACGCGGCAGAGGTCGCGCTCGCGCTCGATTACCTCCACCAGAACGGGTTCGTCTACCGTGACCTCAAGCCGGAGAACATCCTCCTCGCCTCAGATGGCCACCTCAAGGTAACAGACTTTGGTTTCGCCAAGTTCGTCCCGGACGTCACCTGGACACTGTGCGGTGCGTGGCTCTCCCAACCACGCGTGTGCGCGCGCGCTCCGCTCGCATCGCACCTGCTGACACACGTTCCCTCCTTCGCGCGCACAGGCACTCCCGACTACTTGGCCCCTGAGATCGTCAGCTCCAAAGGCTACACAAAGAGTGTGGACTGGTGGGCGCTAGGCGTGTTCCTCTTCGAAATGTTGGCAGGGTGAGTAGCTCTGCTAAGGTCTACTGCCCCTGCGTCGTTATTGCGCGCCAAGAAGTTGATCATGCCCCCATTGTCGTACGGCAGGCACCCGCCTTTCTACACTGAAGATGGGAACCCGATCAAGCTTTACGAAAAAATCGTTGCGTGCAAGGTCCGATATCCGCCATATTTTGAGCCAGGTGTCAAGTGAGTGTTCTATTTTCACCGCGCATCGCCTTGACTGCTGCTGGACCGCGCACATTTCCTTCAAGGGCTTCTGATCGCATACTGACCTTTTTGTGGCTTATGGTCTGCGCCTCCGTAGGGACTTGCTCAAGAACCTCCTGACCGCGGACCTAACAAAACGCTTCGGGAACCTGCATCGCGGCAGTAAGGACATCTTTGGCCATATGTGGTTCGCAGAGGTCGACTGGGACCGGCTGTATCGTCGCGAGATCCCCGCGCCGTACATTCCGACCATCCTGGCAGACGGCGACGGTAGCCAGTGAGTGTTTTGCGCGCGCGTCACGCTGCTCTCATAAGGGGCGTTTCCATACCGCACGTCCCATTCGCAAGGCGATTCTTGCATCGAATGGCTGGTTCCACTGACAACGTCCCTCGCATCTCTCGCAGATTTGAACGCTACGAAGAAGTCGACCTCGTGGAGTACAACATGCCGGACCGCGCAGATCCCTACGGACATCTCTTCCCTGACTTCTGAATGGCCATTGAATCTCAGCTGGGGCTGTGTGACGCAGGTAACCCTCATGGCGGGATGTGAGGGTGATACCCTTCTCGGCCGTGGGCGTAAGCAAAACAAAGCAGATCAGCTGATCAACATGTACCATTGCACCGTTTTAGTGTTTCCATTCTGGAAGCTTACCTGTTCTGCGGATGGAAAACTTGTATATCTACACTGAGCAATGTACTCTTACCAAACATGGAAATCTTTTTCCAGAGTCGCATGAGCGATTGGAGAAGCACTGTGCGCTGCGCGAGGTGAGGGAGCACGCGTCGGAGGCGTATGGAGAGATGGCATCTGATCAGGTGACGGACGGGGCGGGTGCCTGCTTTTAGGTGCGAAATTGGCACTGTTGAGACATTAAGAAGACAGGGGAAGTTGTTGAGTTGGTGGATCTGCTGTCAAAGGAGAAGTTGCGACAGCTACTGTCTTCATGCCGAGAGATGCAGACGCCCGGAACCTGGTCTTGGGGACACAAATTGCGCTTCAGCGTTGCAATTCTACCGTCTTCCCTATCGCACATACTGCATGGTCCTTGTTGGGCGTTCAAGTTTACAATGGCACCGCAGGAAGATGGCTAGTCGTACCGTCTGCCGCACCTGTGCTGCACAGCGCACAGCATCAAGAGCTCAACAGATTGGGGCCATTGCCACGCTGTCTGCAACATGGGCTGTCCATTACGGTGCACGACAACGACGCGGCTATGCCCAGGCGACCTCATCGGCACCTCATGACTCGGCGGGACAGACGCTTCCAAAAGGGCAGGGCATGCATGAACAGAGAAAGGCAGCGGCAGAAGCGCGGCTGAGGTCTGTGCTCCAGATTCTTGGGTTCACTGCCGCAGCTTTGGGGATAGGCACCTTGTTCTGGGTCAAAGAGCAGCAGAATCAGCCTTCTCGGAACCCAGGAGGGCTATATCCCGACCGTTTCACACCTCTTTTGGTCACTCTGAACCAACTATGTACTTCTTCTCTGCAGTCCGAAGTCGGCGATAGTCATCATCGGCACCTCGAGCTCGCATTAGGTCCCGAGTCAACCCCTCTTCTGCCAGAACAAACGAGGGACGATGGCCTGGAAATCTTTTCGATCTACATCAAGCAGCCCGACATCCAGATTGAGCGGGCATATACCCCCCTCTACGCTCCAAGGGATGCTACGTCGTCTGGAAAAATCGACTTGTTGGTCAAGAAATACGAAAATGGAGAAATGGGCAAGTATATCCATAGCAGGTTGATCGGCCAGCCACTAGAAGCGAGAGGATGGCTCAAGACTTGGGACGCAGGGTGGCATCCTTACGAGATTGACCACATCTACTTCGTAAGCAATTCTTCCGAGGTGGCTTCTCAGCCATGTTGCCTAACTGATTTACCCTTTGGCGGCGCAGCTCGTCGCTGGTACTGGCATCACTCCCGCTTACCAGCTCATCAATTCTGTCCTGTCCAACCGACCGTCTTCTTCCACGCGGTTCACGCTCTTTTACTCAGCACCGCAGCCTGCGTCGTTCCTGCTGCTTCCGGAACTGGAGCAACTCCGAGAGGCAAATCCCGATCGGCTGCGCGTCGAACTATGGGCTGAGGACGCAAGCTCTCTCAAGGCGCATCGGCTCGGGGTCTGGCCAACAATTGCTCGAGAGCTGCGAGGGATGGTGGTGAGGGAAGGGCGGATCGCACTGCCAGACTTGCGAAAACGTCTCTGTCGCACCGAGCCCGGCTCGGTCGTCCTGGTATGCGGGCCTGATGGGTGAGTGTACATATCAGTCTAGCATGCAGACACGCTTTCGCTGACCTGGGGTTTCCGGCAGCTTTGTGTCCGCAATTGCAGGTCCACTGTCGAGAGATGGCCAATCTCAAGGCCCGCTTCAGGGTTACTTGGCTGACCTTGGATCCTCACCGTATCAAGTTCACAAACTATAGGTGTAACTTAGTGAGAAAGACGGACAGACAGTGAACGAGGGGTGCATTGCATTGAGATGCATGGCAGGGACGGTAGTAGTCCCCTTTTGCGCTAATGTACATGTGTCGCGAGTTGATAAGCTGATGAAGAGAGCATGTGCACCGGCGATACGAATCAGAAGCCTGGTGGTCGCAATCCTTGCGGAGCCTGTTGTCCTCCCGCTTGTGGCTGCCCAGGTTGTTGCGGGGCGTACGGGCTCGAACCACCTCCAAGCATGCTAGCGCCGCTCTGTTGCGCTTGAAATTCCCGCTCCTGCTGTGTCAGTCGCGCCTCATCTTCGACCGCCAGGGCAAATGGAAGACCGACGAGAAGCGCGCTTGTCGTGATGACCCATGCGAGGCGCCCAAAGATCGACCCGCCGGCGAAAGCATAGTTGGTGGCGGTGCTCACTGTCGAGCTAATCGAGTTTCGTGTCGACGGCGGTACGATGTCTCGCAGCGCGTAGATGCGCTCAAGCAAGGTCTCCTCGTGTATTGTCTTTTCATCCTCTGACTCGTCGCTCTGTCCCAGCGCAGAAGGGAGGGGTGATGGAAAGAGTTGGATGAATGCCTCCTCAGATGGAAAAAAGGTGAAAGATCGTGCGAGCACTTACAAAGTCCGATTCGTCGTCATCCTGCCACTCGTCTGCATCCTCGGCCGCCTGTGCCTTCTGGAAGTACTCGTCTGTTGTCTCCTCGAGTCTGACCATCTTGCTGACGTTCAACTGGTTGCCCACTGCCCTGTCTTACGGGGAGGGAGAAACAGCCAGAAGGTGATGGTTCACGATGACGATGTGTAAAAATCTTGTCCAAGAACTCAGTGGCCGAAGATCCATGCTGAGCAAAGGTCAATATTGGCAGCAAGGAGACACTGCTGCAGTGCCCTCTCCTAAGTCCTTGGTCCCCGTTCCGCGCACCACTGTCCCGGTCGGTCAGATGATAAATACTCCAGGTTGCCTTCCACTCAGCTTGAGCTGCGTACTTCGAGCAGCCGCCGTGTGTTGAGCGTTCAGCACCAGACCCCAGCAGAGCAACAAAAGATCTTGAGCAAAACGCTCGCTAAAGGGCCCCGTGGAGCCAGAAGCAAGGCTTTGTAGGCCGCGGTCCAGCTTGGGCTATCTTCTCGCTCACCCAGGTGCCTTCGACCTGGTCTTCCTACCCTGACGCCTGCTGGCCTGGGACCTCAAGCGAG